TGCTGCTCCCCGTGGACTATTTTCACTCCTTCCTCTGTCGGGAATTTCATCATCTGGTGGAGGGTCGAAGGTACTGCCCTCATGTTGTTTATCCATGGTCTCCCGAGGAGTGCGTTATACCTCATATCACCTTCGATGACATGGAACCTGATATTTTGTATGGTCCAGGCTACGTTTACTGGCAAGATAATCTCTCCTTTTGTTGTTTCGCTAGCCATATTGAAGCCATTCAGCACCCGGGACGAGGGTACAATCTGATCTCGTAATCCAAGTTGTTCCACTACCCTCAATCTGATTATGTTCGCAGAACTACCTGGATCCACTAAAACACGTTTAACTTGAATTTTATTTAGAAGAATAGAGGTTACCAGGGCATCGTTGTGAGGTTGGGATATGTTTTCTGCTTCCTCGTCGCAAAAGACAGGACATCCTCGGGCACATAGCTCCGAGTCCGCTTTTCTCTTGTGATCGATACTCAGGTGTGCTTGAATACAGGACGTTGGGGGACGTCGACTCCTCCAATGATCATGTGGATTACGTGTTGTGGTTCTTCTTGCTCGTTTTTCCTTGTATCTCTCTCCCTGAAGTGGTTCTTAGCTCGATCACTTATAAATTCTTGAAGGTGGCCCTCGTTGAACAATCGAGCCACCTCTTCCCTTAGCTGCCAGCAATCTTCTGTTCTATGTCCGTGCATACCATGATCCTTGGACATCAAGTTCGGGTTTCTTTGGGAGGGATCGGTTTGTATGGGCCTCGGCCACTTGGTGTCTTTGATTTTTCCAATAGCCGACACGATCCCTGATGCATCCATGCTAAAGTTGTACTCTGACAGTCAGGGAGCTTCGGCGGGGTCGGTGTGCTTGTCGAACCCACTCTTGCTCATGAGTCCCCGAGAACTTTGGCCTCGATCGTTTCTCTGATTGCTTCGAGGAGTGTTACGGCTCGAGCCGCTATTTCTTCGGTCGGTATATGGCTGATACCGTTCTTTATTGAATCTAGATCCCCGATCTATGTCTCTCGGGGGCTTGGCTGCGAATCTGTTAGGATGAATTGAACCCGAGGGGGCTCCCAACTGATCATCTTCAACCCTGATTTTTGACTGGTAACGATTGTGCACATCTGACCACATCACAGCTGGATACTCGATCAAGTTCTGCTTTAGTTATCGAGAAGCAATTAAGTTTCGCTCGTTCAAACCCTGCATGAAGGCCTGCACTGCCCAGTCGTCGAAAACCGGCGGCAGTTCCATTCTTTCCATCTGAAACCTGGACACGAACTCCCTTAGCATCTCGTCGTTCCTTTGTTTTATTTTGAAGACATCTGACTTTCTCGTGGCCACCTTTATGGCCCCGGCGTGAGCTTTAACGAAAGCATCTACTAACATAGCAAATGAATCAATAGAGTTAGGAGCTAAGTTGTGATACCAAATCATAGCTCTTTTTGAGAGTGTTTCCCCAAACTTTTTCAACAATATTGACTCGATTTCGTGATCATTCAAGTCATTTCCTTTGATCCCGCAAATGTATGAAGTAACATGTTCATTAGGGTCGGTTATCCCGTTATAGTTGGGTATATCGGGCATGCAGAATTTCTTAGGAATGGGCATCGGGGCTGCGCTCTGAGGGAATGGTTTTTGTATGAACTTCTTAGCATCTAGACCTTTTAAAAGTGGAGGTGCCCCCGCTATCTGGTCTACACGGGAGTTATAAGTCTCCACCTTCTTGTCGTTATCCTCAATTTTCTTTTCTCCGGATTCTATTCTCTTAGTGAGCTCTTCGAGCATTTTCATAATGGTGGGGTCAGTCTCCGAGCTGTCTCCATTTGGTCCTTCCGGCGTTGGTTTAGCACGTTGATTGTTTTCATGTTCAGCTACACTCGGGGTCTTATTCTGGCTTTGAAGCTGCACGACGGCGATTTGCTGAGCCTGCAACATCTCAAATATCACCTGGAGGCTAACTCCTCCATCTCCTGCTCCCGGCGTTCCTTGGTCCCTTGGTCGAGCATCCCTGCGTACGCTCCCTTCGGGGTCTGTGCCTAGGCTGGTGTTTATAGCAATATGAGAACCAACATCAACTGGTTCCACGTTTGGCACTTCCCCAGGGTCTATTGGTGGTACACCGACCCCTACATTGTTGTTTTCTCCAAGACCCTCATTGTCATGAACAGGTACGTTTTGTGAGCTAGACATGTTTCAGCCTGAAAATCAAAGATTATTGACAAGAAAAAGCGTAAAGATAACGTGTGTAATGAGAATCAGTAAAGAAATAATCACTATTATCTTTAGCCCCACGGTGGGCGCCAAACAGTTTACCTCGAAAAATACGAGTAACAATTAAATTTGATTTGTGGTTTTAAAGATATGTGATTTAGTTCAATACCAATTAAGAATCAAGAAATATGAAGTAGAATGAAAGATAGAAGTGAATCAAACCAATGTTCCTTAGCATTAGTGACCTCGAGACGATGACCTCGAGGTGGCTTAGGGCAGTAAGAAGAATTAAATAGAGAAATCAAAGTAAGAACAATTGAGCTAAGGGGCAATTCTGATGAACAACAGACAAAACGTAGAAAGCATATTCTTTGCTAAGTGAAAAGGTGTCTTACAAATGATTGGGGTTCCCTTTTTTTAATAGAGGAACCCTAAATAAGGAATATTTTTATTTACAGTGGAATATTCTTGTTACAGCAGTCTTAATCGCCTAGTACGGAATTGTACGATCCTATTCCGAAATTCGCACCATGATCTTAGGGACGTGCCAGGAATCTAGCTCGCTCTGGTATAAATCCATAACGGTACTATTTCGAGGTCGAGCACACTTGGCCTCGGTATTCCCCGAACTCCTGCTTCCAGGCATTACGCTCTTTCTTCGAGCTCGAGCCCGGCCCACTCGCTTCGAACTTGACTTCTCCCGGGCTTGGACCTAGGGCGGAACCTCGAGCTTCTACATCGGGGGCATATGACTTTAACCGTATACACACATAAATCGGATTTATCAAAGACGTATAAATCGATTTCGTCAAATGCGACTTATAAATCGCATCCTTCTATAACGTCAGCGACTTGTGAGTCGCAATTAAATCGGACTCAGAAGCCGCGATCATCTTCCAAATCAAATGCGACATATAAATTGCATTTACTAATTGGAACCTATACATCTCCAGGAAATGCGAAATACAACTTATAAATCGCATTCATCATATGTGACTTATAAATTGCATTCGTCATTTGCGTCTAACAAACCGCATTCAATATATGCATCTTATAAATCACATTCATCTTTTTCCAGAAAAGGGGGCTTTTGCTCCAACAAGTTTGTTTAGAAAAGAAATTCCAAAGCGGGAGAGATGGTTGTACCGTTCAATAACACAACCACTATTTTATAGATTTCAAGGAAAAATAAGAGAACATAAAATTTACTAACAAAAAAATTTAAACTTGAATAGACATGCATCAAGATAAAGTACCACGTATGGAGATATTCAAGACCAATAAAATGCACAAAAACTTTTTCAAAATAATTACAACAACTAAACAGATAAATAACAGAAAATGTAAGCAAAAAGAAAGAATATTAGAACTTGAAAGGAAAGGAAAAAAAACTAAAGAGCATACCGTTTTTACTTCAAAAGAAACAAAGAAATTAGAGGACTTGAAAATAAACAATGAGACTATAATAGTGTCTTTTCATTTACTCTCAAGTTTAGACTTTAGATACTAACTTTCAAAATAAAATGAAGTGCTCGATAGACAATGAAAGGACATAAATGAGTCAATTATTCAAATGGTCACTCAACTATCTGAAATTATCTAGTAAGGTCATATTTCTTTCTTTGTAACAGAAAAGTCACTTAACTATGCTTATAGCACTCATAAGATCACTCAACTAGATTTCTTAATTTTTGATTGTCAAATACCTATTTTGCCCTCTAAATTATCAACTTTTATCTTTTTTAATAACTTTTTTAATATTTTAATCTCTCTTTTTAATCTACATTATGGACTTATCTATAGAGAAAATAAATTCAATTTAAAAAATAAAAAAACTAATATTCTTTAATATCAAAATAATAAAATAATTGAGTATAATTTTCAAGAATATATAATACATATTATAAAAAACCTTTATTTTAAATCATTGCCTTTATATTACGTGCATAGAATATATATTTTAAAAACTTTTATTTTCTTTCATTCTCAATTTTGTAAATAAATTTTTGAGTTTTTGTTATTAACATCAAAATTGTCATTACGAATAAATTGTTCTGATTAAATTATTTACTATGCTCAATATGCTATTATTCCAACATTATATATGCTTAAATACTATTTTATTTTTTATTTTATAAATAAAATTTATTTGTTCTATAAGAAAGTCCATAATTTATTTTTTAACTTTACGTGTTGGTAAGGTAAGCTTGTGTTACTCTCTCTAGACTTTCTCTCTCGGCGCATGACTGCGTGATTTGCTAACGTGCGCTGATCGGAAATGGGGAGAGGACGACCTAGGAAGCTGGTGAAAAAGATACAATTAGCTGATTTCATTGCTTCAGGAAGTAGGAATGGAAGTCTGGGACGTAGTACTGAAACAGATGCACAAGAGAAAACTCAAAGCTGTGATCAGGGAACTTCAACAAGTATGGCTAAATCTCGAGGATCGAGTAACATGCAGCTGAAATTAACACGAGATCTGGAGAATTTGAGTCCAAATATGAGGGATTTGACACCTCAGGCAGCTGATGGGAAGCTAGGTAAGGGAATTTCGAATATGAACACTGTTCCATTGGTTACTGTTTCACCAATGGAAACAGTGTGTAGTTACAAGGAAAAGGAGCTGAACATCATGGAGAATAAGGTAATCGACAGTGCGAACAGAGAAATTACTTTGAAAGAGCAGTAATTACTGAATCAAAAAGCAACGAAGGAGGCAGAACAAGAGAAATCAAAAGTAGTAGTGGGGGAAAATCAACAGAAATGGTCAAATCTGTTCACAGGGAATAAAATGGCTGCAAGAGGTATGGATCTAGTGTTCATACCACCTACTATTCAGGATGGGGTTAAAAAGGTACAATTACAGCAGGAGGAGATGGAATTGGAAACTACAAAGTGGTAGAAAGCTATAATTGTATATATCATTGGAGAAGCACCGTCAATAGGAGCCATGGAGAGAATCATAGCTATGCAATGGAACTTTGCTGCCAAACCTACAGTGTATTATCATAATGAAGGCTATTTTGTGATACTATTCAATAGTATGGATGATAAAAATGTTGTACTATACTCAGGAATTGATTATGATGTCATGGACAGAGGACTTTGATTTGTACAATGAAGTTCTTAAAACTATTCCATTATGGGTAAGCTTCCTTAACTTGTCTTTGAACTGTTGGGGACGATTGACATTGAGTAGAATTGCTAGTGGACTAGAAACACCTTTGTATGCTGATGAATGTACAAGTAATGCTTCTAGAATTTCCTATGCTCGAGTGCTTATAGAGATGGATATCAGCAAGGAGTTACCTAAGTGTATCAAAATTCAAGATCCTTCAGGCAAAGAGTTTAAGCAAATGGTGGAGTATGATTGGGTTCCTCAGTATTGTAAGAAGTGTTTGATGGTGGGTCATGATTGTGAAAGAGATCAAGGAAGAACTGGAACAACAAAAAGAAGTGTGCAAAATGAGCAACATCAGACTAAACAACAAGGAAGGAGTACCAATGTAATTGGGAATATACAGCAAACAAGGAAACCAACAACTCAATGGGTGGAAATAGGGCTATCAAAGCAAGCAGAGAGGGACACGGGCAAACAGATCTATCAAGGAGATGAAACACAGGATCCAAAAGAATATCAACAAGTATGGACAAAAGCAAAGGGCAGGGTGGAACTGACAAGTCCTATACAGCAAGTTATAAGGACTACCAATAGCTTTTCTCCATTGAGAGAAGTAGCAAATGAAGGCAAAACATGGGCAGATAATGATAAAGCTGGAGGTAGTAGGGGACAAGGTGAAGAGATAATTCCAACTAAGCAGAAACCTATATGAAGATAGTGACATGGAATGTGAGGGGTTTTAATAAGGTTCATGGAGATGAAAATTTTCTTGAAAAAACAAAAAATCAATCTTATAGCAATAGTTGAGCATAAAGTACAGAGTATTAAAGAAAAGGAGGTCATAAATAAATGTGCACCAGGCTGGAGTTGGTGCTCAAATAGTAAGGTTACTGAAAGAGGTAGAATTTGGATTCTATGGGATGCAAATAGTATTCAATTCACTATGTTGCAATCTCATACTCAATATATTCATGGTATAGTCAAAAATAGTAGCTCCAGCAAGCAATTTGCTTTTACAGCTATATATGGACTGCATATTGTTGCTCATAGGTGTGATATGTGGGAAGAATTAAGGAAAATTGATTCACAGATGGATAGTACTTGGCTGCTCATGGGGGACTTTAATGCAGTACTGGACAAAGAAGACAGGGTAAATGGTACAGAAATACAGGATAATGAAATCAAGGACTTTAGAGCTCTAATGGAGGATTGCAGGTTAAATGAACTAGAAAACTGTGGGAAGAACATACACATGGACAAACAGCCATGTGTTTAGTAGAATTGATAGAGCTATTGTAAATGCACATTGGATGATGAATATGCCACCATTGCAAGTTTGTGTGATGGATCCTCATTTCTCTGATCACTCTCCTTTATGTATAGAGGTGGAGGCAGGAATGGAGTATAAAGGGAGACCTTTCAAGTTTTTTAACTGTCTCACTGAGCATCCAGAGTTTGAAGAAATAATAAGAAGCAGATGGGAAAAAGAGAATAGAAATATGAAAGATATATGGTGTAATTTGAAGCAGATCAAAGAAGAGATGAAAAGTTTAAACAAGAGAGAGTTTTCCAATACAACAAAGAAGGTGCAGCAGTTAAGGGAAGAATTAGCAAACATTCAAACACAGATGAGAACAACTAACACAGCAGCTGATATGTTTGATGTGGAGAGAAACACAAAGCATCAGCTAGAGAAGTGGAGTAATATAGAAGAGAGCATCTATAAGCAAAGGTCTCGAATACAATGGCTTCAGCTAGGTGATTCCAACACAGCTTTTTTCTTTGCAAGCATGAAAGGGAGAGTAACACAGAATCAAACAAAGAGTTTAACAAATAACAATGGAAGATTGATCAACAATCCAGAGGGCATTAAACAGGAGATAGTGGGGTTCTATTGAGGATTATTAGGGAGATCAACTAACAACATGACTGCTATTAATCCTAGCATAATGAGGAATGGTCCAAGACTTATAAGGTCACAACAGCTTCATCTTATAGCCTCTTTTACTAAGGAAGATGTGAAGACAGCCTTGCAAGGGATTGGTGACTCAAAGGCACTGGGTGGAGATGGTTTCAATGCCTACTTCTACAAGAAGACTTGGCATATAATTGGCAAGGACATCACAGAAGCTGTTCTGAAATTCTTTGATGATGGTATAATGTATAAACCAGTAAATAGGACAACAGTTACTCTGATCCCAAAAGTGAAAAATCCTTCTTCTATAAAGCAGTTTAGGCCAATCTCCTGTTGCACTATTGTTTACAAAATTATTTCCAAAATGCTCACAAATAGGCTGCAGTCAGTAATGGGAGACTTAGTTGATCTGAGTCAGGCAGCATTTGTACCAGGGAGAATACTAAGTGACAATGTTCTACTGGGGCATGAACTTGTTAAAGGATATGGGAGAAAAGGTGTGTTACCAAGATGTATGGTTAAAATTGATATGCAAAAGGCGTATGATTCTGTAAAATGGTATTTCCTTGAACAAGTACTTACAGAAATGAATATCCCAGGGAAATTTCTTTCTTGGATTATGACATGTGTTACTACAATGTCTTATGCTATTGTGGTTAATGGGAAGCCAACAACTCCTTTTGATGCAAAGAGAGGAGTTAGACAAGGTGATCCATTATCACCATATTTGTTTGTTCTAGCTATGGAGTATCTTACAAGGATCTTGAAGACTCTTAAAGAGAAGCCTGACTTTAACTACCATCCTAGGTGTGAGAAGCTGAATATTATCCAACTCAGTTTTGCAAATGACTTGTTGCTGTTTTGCAGGGGAGATGTGGTGTCTATACAGCTATTGTATGAATGTTTTCAACAGTTTTCAAAGGCTTCAGGTCTGATTGCTAATCAGGAAAAAAGCTGTATCTATTTTGGAGGGGTCACTGAAGATATTCAACAAAACATTATACTGTGCTTAGGTTTTTGTAAAGGCTCTTTGCCTTTCAAATACTTAGGAGTCCCATTGAGTAGTAAAATGTTATCTATTACTCAATGTCAACCTTTACTGGATAAGATGTTAGGCAGAATCAAAAACTGGACAACAAAGTTTCTGTCTTATGCAGGCAGGTTGCAGCTGATCAAAAGTATTTTATTTGCTATTCAATCATTTTGGTCACAGATATTTCCTTTACCTAAGAAGATCCTACAAGGAATTGAGACAATTTGCAAAAGATTTCTGTGGACAGGTGAAACAGAAACCAAAGCTAAAGCTTTAGTAGCTTGGAGACAATCATGTTGGCCAAAATCTGCAGGGGGTCTGAATATCACAGATATGGTTATATGGAATAGAGCTGCACTAATCAAGCAATTGTGGAATCTAAATAAGAAGAAGGATAGATTGTGGATACAGTGGATTCATACTTACTATATCAGGCAACAAGTAATATGGCAAGTGAAAGCTAAACAAGCCTCATGGTTAGTGCAAAAAATTCTGGGAGCTGGTAAATACCTAACTGAGGTCAACATAGCAATTGAAGAAGTGTTGAGCATGAAGGAATACTCCATCATATTGATATGTAACAAGTTGAGAGGTGGTCTACCTAAAGTGGACTGGAGGAGTATTGTGTAATAACTGGAGCAGTCCTAAATGGAGATTCATTTTATACTTGGCAATTCTGGAAAGGTTGTATACGAGAGACAGATTACTAGGATGGAGCATAGCAAAAAGTTTAGCATGCTCATTACGTGAAAGGGTAGCAGAAAGCCATGAACACTTATTTTTTCAATGCAACTACTCAGCAAGTATATGGAGTAAGTTGCTACAATGGATGGGGATACAAAGGAATGTACAAGGTTGGGATGCTGAAAAACAGTGGGCAATAAGGCATGCATCAGGAAAGAAGCAAATGTGTGCAACATACAGAATGTTACTCGCCTGTGCTGTTTATTATATTTGGCAGGAACGAAACTGGAGAACCTTCAGAGGAACACAAAGCAGCAGTGAGGAGATGATCAAACTGATAATTCAAGAAGTGCACTGTCGTGGAATGTTGAATTCTAAGATAGCGAGACATTTACAGAATTTCAATTTTTATCCATAGTTTGTAGTTGAGTAGTTATGTAGATATGAGGGCACTAGATTTCATGTCCAAATCTATGTGAGTTTTGAGGGTTCTTGCTATACTTGTAAATATTTTTCTCGGTAATAAGAAATTTAATTACCAAAAAAAGTCCATAATCTAAAATAAAAAGAGAAAAATCCATATAATTAAAAAGTAAAAAAAAATAAAAAAATAGATAATTTAGAGGGTAAAAAATAATTATTTGCCAATCAAAAGTTTGAGAAATCTAGTTGAGTGACCTTCTGAGTGCTATAGGCATAGTTAAGTGACTTTCTTGTTACAAACGAAAGAAAAATGACTTTAGTAAATAATTTCGGATAGTTTTAGTGACCATTTGAATAATGGACTCAGACATAAATTTAAGATTATAACAATAGTCTTTTCATTTGCTATTTAAGGTACTTATTTTTTAAATGTATACTAGTTTAACGAGTACAGTAATGATAGGTATGAAGGAGACTATGTTGCATTATCACAAGTTTTGTTATTTATCGTGAAATGTATTTGACGATTGCCGTACATTGATATCAATAACTTAATTACTTTTTTAATGAAATATATTTGTTATCCTTTTGGCTATATACTCCATATATAATCACACACACGTTCCATAAGATATAAGTAGTTAATTCTCAAATTTATTATACAATATTCATTTTTAGGGAAAACATGATTAAAAATACATAGTTACATTTTTGTACCAAAAAAATTACAAGAATAACATTAACTGAAGAGTAAAATGGTCAATTAATTTGTGATTGGTATGTTGGTCTTTTATCTTAGGCTTAGGAGCTTCACTTATAATATAGCACGATAGAAAAGTCATAAAAAAGATCATTTACTGCCTCATTCGTTATAATTTATATGACATAATTTGATTCAAATAATTTAACTCAATACAAAATGTAAGAAAGGAATATTTTTTAAAATATGTGGCTTTAAATATGCTATAAAATGTATATATCATAATATTTACTACATGACTATAAGATTTATTTTTTGAAATAAAATACTATAAAGTTAAATTATTTTCAACCACATTTAAAAAATGAAATAAGGAAAGTGAGGAGTATATGACTGTAGTTTGTGTTAGCAGGCGGCACCGGCACGTGACAAAGATAGTGCAAGACACAATAGTAATTTTCTTTTTATTCAAAATCTCACACACAGTAAGCATTTAAGTATGCCAAACCTGTCAACTTCACTACACACTAAACTCAATTTTTCTTCAAAAGCTCTCTGTGTGCTTCAAAGATCGTTGTCCCAAACTTGCCCAGGTACTTATCCTTTTCAAGATCGTTTCTTTTGTCTGAAATGTTTGAATTTCTGAGACTTATTTTGCTTCTGGCAATTTTTCTTTAATTTTTTTGTAAATTATTTTTCTTTTTATTGTCATTTTACTATGAAGGGTTCCTATTACAAATCTTGAGTTGGGTTTAGCTTATTTTGTCCTTTTGCATGTTGTTTTTTCTAAATTTTGGTGGAATTTTTGCTGGGTTTCTAGGGTTAGCTCCATTTAGGGCTTGTTCCTGTTCATTTCCCTTAAATTGTGAGTTTTTATTTGGATTTTCAGTCAACATAGCCATTCTTGAGCAGAAAGTTTGCATCTTTAGCCTTTTTATTGGTGCATGATGTCCTAGAATTGTACTTTTTATGGTTTTCTTACTTTTTTTCTTGCTGTAGTATTGGAGATTGTGCATGGATCTAAGTGGTGACTGGAAAAAGTTCAGAGCTTTGTATTTGGGTTATTAATGTGAGTGAAAGTTGTGATCTCTGTTGTTGTGGCTATTGATTTCGATTGAAATGGAACAAGGCTTTGCTTCAGACTCTGTTCCACCAGCAGGGTCCATTGACAAGTCTAAGGTTTTAGATGTGAAGCCTATGAGATGTCTTATGCCTGTTTTCCCATCCCCAAATGGAATGTCATCTGTTTCAACTCCTCAACCCTCACCTTTTGTGTGTGTTCCTCCAAGTGGTCCTTTCCCACCTGGGGTTTCTCCATTTTATCCATTTTTGGCCCCGAACGGGTCCGGAAGATCAGGTGAAAATCAGGAAGCTTTTGGTTTTGGGACGCCTATATCTCCAGTTCCCTTAAATTCATTCAGAACTCCAACCGCGAATGGAGACACTGGGCCAAGGAGGCCCGGCAGACCTCGTGCTACGAATGGCTTAGTTGCAGAAGATGATGGTGTCAGCGATTCACAGAATCAGAGTGACCAATTCGGCAGTGGCTATAGCGTGCACATTAATGATGTAGAAGACACAAGTACAGGGAAAAAAAGGGGAAGACCGAGAAAGACTAGGATGAGTCATCCAGCTAACTCCCATGTCGAAGTGGATGTCGATCCAATACTAAATCAGCTTCTTGCATCCTTTAAACTTGTCGATGTCGATCAGGTTAAAAAAGCTGATGGTGACAAGGAGCTAGTTGGGCGAATACTATTGGCATTTGATGTGTTTCGTAGAAGGTTGACCCAGATTGATGAGAAAAGGGGTGAGACTCCAGGTTCTGCAAGAAGGCCGGATCTAAAGGCTGCTAATTTGCTGATGACAAGGGGAGCTCGGACAAATCAGACAAAGAGGATTGGAAATGTACCTGGGATTGAAGTTGGTGACATATTCTTCTTCAGGATGGAATTGTGCCTAGTTGGTTTGCATGCACCTAGTATGGCTGGGATAGATTATATGAGTGTCAGACTTACAGGGGATGAAGAGCCTATTGCTGTTAGCATAGTGGCCTCTGGAGGATATGATGATGAAGGGGATGATGGGGATGTGCTAATTTATACTGGCCAGGGTGGAGTCCAGAGAAGGGATGGCCAAATGTTTGATCAGAAACTTGAGAGGGGTAATCTTGCTTTGGAAAAGAGTATGCATCGCGGCAATGAGGTGAGAGTAATTAGGGGTGTTATAGATGTTACAAATCCGAGGGGGAAGATTTATATGTATGATGGCCTTTACAGGATCCAGGAATCATGGGCAGAAAAAAGCAAATTGGGTGACTGCAGCATTTTCAGGTACAAATTGCTTAGAGTACCTGGGCAGCCTGAAGCATTTACATTGTGGAAATCAATTCAGCAATGGAGAGATGGAACAGCGACACGTGTTGGAGTTATCCTACCCGACCTAACATCTGGTGCAGAGAGTCAACCTGTTTGCCTTGTAAATGATGTTGATGATGAGAAGGGACCTGCTTATTTCACATATATCCCAAGTCTGAAGTACTCAAAACCTTATATGAAGCCTAATCCATCTATGGGCTGTCAATGTGTTGGCGGATGCCAACCTGGAGGGTCCACTTGCCCTTGCACTCAGAAAAACGGAGGCTTTTTGCCCTTTAGTTCACTTGGAGTTCTTGTGAGTTACAAAACCTTGATACAGGAGTGTGGTTCTGCCTGTTCATGCCCTCCGAATTGCCGAAATCGAATGTCTCAAGCAGGTCCTAAAGCGCGTGTGGAGGTCTTCAAAACAAAAAATAGAGGTTGGGGACTTAGGTCTTGGGATCCCATACGTGGAGGTGGCTTTATTTGTGAATATGCCGGAGAAGTTGTTGAAGAGTCTAGGGTAGGTGAGCTTGGCAATGACGGTGACGATGATTATATATTTGATGCTACCCGCATGTATGAGCCATTGGAACCTGTGCGAGATTATAACGACGAATCGAAAAAGGTCCCCTATCCCCTTGTAATAAGTGCAAAAAAGGGTGGCAATGTTGCTCGTTTTATGAACCATAGCTGTTCACCTAACGTATTCTGGCAGCTTGTTGTACGTGAAAATAACAATGAGACATACTACCACATTGCCTTTTTTGCCATTAGGCATATTCCTCCCATGCAAGAATTGACTTTTGATTATGGCATGGTTCCACCAGACAAAGCAGATCGTAGGAGGAAGAAGTGCTTGTGTGGGTCATTGAACTGTAGAGGGTACTTTTACTAGTCGTCATGGTCTGATGAAGAAATGGAGTTCACTGGTCACCACTGAATCAAGGTTTGGTTTCCTTTTTAAATTTGAAAATATCTTGTTTCTTTTATTTTTCTGCTCATTTTGAGTTTTAATCCATGTTTGCTAGTTATCATGTGAACATAAGTTATGCAGAAATCTGAATAGCATTTAGCTGTTTAAAGTTGCTTTATCTTCATTGAGTTTATGAATTGAAGTGTTTCTGAAGATGACTTTTTTCTACTTCTTGATTTAGCCGTTGGGCCTGCTCAGATAAGGTTGCAAGGTTTCTATCTTGCCCTTTATCTTCACCAGTTTGCTCCCATTCTCTTTTTCTTGAATCTGATTTTTACGGTCCTTGCATACCATTTTGTGGGACACAATTTGATAGAGGCACAGAACACAGGGATTTAAGAATTTATTGGGCGTTTAAATTAGAAGGTAGTCGTTGAAAGTTAATTGACTGAAATGATGATTTAACCTCGAATAGTTTACTGAATATGAGCTGTTAGAACTTAGGAAAGTTCTTGTGGAATATTATTTGTGGAAGTGTCTGAAATATTTTCATGATGGGGGAGTCTGAAGGTGCTTCTTGGCTAGAGATTTGACTAAGGAGAACTTAGAGATCTTAATCTCTCATCCTTAGACCTTGGTAAATTGGAGATCTAGACCATACTTATTCACCTGAAACTTTAGTTCATATTGCTAACAAGGGAGGCAAGATGTGTGGTTGATGTGTCATGGTTTGTAAAACGAGCATCTTCCTTGTCTAAAATTATCTTTTTTTTCTTGACCAGTAAGGTAAATGTTATTTAGTAAATAAATGTCAGTACCTAGAAGGTATACTGCTAGGTACAAAATGTATACGAGAAGAATCTGTATTCCTTCACTAACTATCTTGACCATCTAAGAAATCTAGCATTGATTCTATGTCATTTACATCATTTCCTCTTCCCCATAATTTTAAATTATATGGACATTTATATTATACAAAAGAAATATTTTCTATTTTCTCCTCAAAAACATCCGAGATACCTGTCTAACCAAACTTTTCCAGAAATACTTAAAGGATTGTTCCCCACAGTTCTCTTTGTTCCTTTCTTAACATTTATTCCTGTGATCTAGCCTGCTCGTTTTACATTCCCCTGCATCACCCAGTGAACTCAATATATATTCATAATCATGCTTCATATCTGCCATGAAAGTGCAATGCAGCAATGTGTGTCTTGCTGATTTAGTGTCTTCTTTGCAGAAGAAACACCTGCTGCATTTATTAAATCCTCATTTTGTAGATTGTCATGTGTGAGACACCTCATGCATTGCTATCCGTTTTAAACGCGCCACTTTTGTTGGGGGTTTTGTTCTCCTAAAATATTTCTAGGGAAGAAAGTGGTCTGACTTGTCAATCTCCTCCTTATCAAGGTTTGGTAGCAAAATTTGACAGAAAATTTACTTTTGCTTTTTCCTTCCACCATAAGGAATCCTTCCTGGTTTTAACACAGTTTCTTAATCCAGTATTTGTAGTAATAATGTAACCCTATCAATTCTCCAATCATTAAAGTTTTTTTCTTAATTCTATCTTCCATCCATCCACTCCAATCACTGTGCAATTGTTAATCCCCTTACATTTGCTAGATTGAGGAGACCTGAAAGTTGTCTTTCAACGTACCATTATCCATCCATTTATCCAGCCACAATCTGATGTTTCACCATTTCCAACTTTGAATCTTATTCTGTCCAAAACTTGATTGCGCAAATTTCTGATTTATCTCCCAACAGCCACACCGTAATGACCTGTTAATTGGCTTTGAGTACCATCTATTCTCCATTCCATATTTGCGTTTGATCACTCTTTTCCATAGCTATCCTTTCCATAGATGAATCTCCAATGCCATATGAATAAGAGACTTCTATTCTGTAATCTAAAGTTCTTAATACCCAAATCACCATCTGGTTTAGCTTTCATCACTGTGCTCCATTTTACCTAGTTGATTTTTCTTCTGTCCCATAGAAAATTGCATCTACTTATGTGTAACTTGACGTCAAGTATGTAAGAGTTCCAACCATACACTGTTTTTCCCAAGGTTTCAGCTTTACAATTCTTTTCCACACCCCTGAATCTTTGTGTCTGGCTCCAACAGGTGATCCCAAAGTAAACTGTTGGAAAAATTTCTCCCCTGCATCCCATATCTCGGTCAATTCTTGTATATTTTGTTTACAGTTAACTGGAAAGATCTGCTTGCTCTGAGATTAATGTGTAGACCAGAAATTGCCAAAAAGGCCACCAGTATAGCTTTTAAGCAAAGTAATTGTACTTGCCCCACATAGGAACCAATATTACCAGCTGGATACGAAATGTGAGACATTTCCGCCTGCTTCTCCATCAATTTTACAGCCTGTAATCATAAGCATTTATTGAAAGTCAATTTATCTATCAATGTCTTTAGCTTCTGTTACTTTTGTTTCATATGGGTAGACTATCCAATGTGCGTTGAGAGAGTAGATATAATGATCTTCCTCCATCCCGATTTATTCAAATGTGGTGATGATCGCCTTGAAATGTGTTTACTGTATTTGGAGTTTTTAGGAATATGTTAAAATAATACTAGTTAGAAAATGGGTGAAATATATAAAAAGTTGCATCAAATCCAAACAAGTATAAAGTGATATATGAGTGTTTGAATGTCAATGTGAATGTTCACCTTATTGTATGTCAATTTGAGTGTTTTAAGGTCAGGAAAATCTACTTTTTGGAATTGACTAAAATAGGAAGTAGATGAAACAAAATGAGATGGAGCATTGCACCTTGAATCAACTGATTGATTCCTTTCTTCCCATTTGATCTTCTCTTTTCCTTTGTTCTTTGATAGTCATGGACACATAACACTAAACATGTTGGTTTTCCTTTTGCAGTTGATCAGTAGTTGAAGGTAGGAGCAAGGATTTGGACTTTTGATGCACCGTCAAAACGATTGCCTCTGAAATCTAGTATTATTAATTATGTCATCACTTGAAGCCAGACAAGGATAATTGTAACTTGGCTTCCAACAACGCAAGACCTTTGTAGCTTTTGATGTACTAAAACATAGGATTGTTATTGACAGGGTAAAACCAAATTATTGCTCTTCATAATTTTCCCCATCTTCGGCAAGTTGATGTTATTGTACTATTCTATATCAATGTATTAAACTGTAGTGTTATTTTGTTGTTGCTGCATGATTCATTTTTATGTTATTCTGATAACCTATAGAGGGTAGTAACACCCGGTGTTTACAGTTTATACCAAATTTAGGAATTTAGTGCAAACATCAGGTGGCTTATTTCTCTGTTTAAAGTTTTGACCTAGACCTTCTCGTGAAATCACGCTGGTTTCTTTGTTTACCTTATTGTTTTGTGTTGCTCTTAATCGGGAATTCCAATCATACAATTATAGAAATAGCTTGTCGTAATCGGAGCACAAACAGTAGAAGAAACAACTGAGTTAATATATTTTTAGTTACTAGTAAATGGCTAAATATGAGATTTATATTTTGGAATGTCCAAATTACCATTTTCGTTTACTCGTAAGTCAGTAAATCAATGTGATTGGTCAAACACTGAGTTCCAATGGTTGAATAAATATGTTGTAGTTGTAAAAATATAGAAAACAGACTAAATGCGAGCATAGAGAATTTTTTTTCTTTCGGTTTAACCATTTGGTATATGAAATTCACTGGTCAGACTGATTTGCAAGGGCGAAGTTATGTGTGGCCAATGGCAGTCAGTTGAACACTCTTTGCCGGTTTTTTTTTTTTTACTGTATATATGGTAAAATGTACTTGTTATTGATTAAAAAAATAGGATTTAAACACCCTTATTGATTTTTTTGATTTTTCGCATCGACTAGACTCTCTAAGCGAAAATTCCTACTTACCTTAATTATTCATGGAGGAATACCACCAAAATGAGGTGGTAAATATAGAGAACTGAGTTGCCTTTTGTTCCTAAATGATTAATATGAAGGGCTGAACTAAACCAGAATTGAAAGTTAAGACCTCTTTCCATTAAAAGACATGCAAAAATAATCCGCGCGAAATGTGCGGATGAATAAGAGAATTATACTCCAACTTTATTGAACGGTAATGAGAGAAAAACGAAGAGGAAACATCATTCTTGGGTTCAGTTTTGTCGTCAGCATGTAGAGCTGCGAAAGCTGGTTTTGATCAAAAAGGAGAGAGAGAGAGAGGAGAGAGAAAAATAGGGGTGCACTAAGAGAATAGAGGAGAGAGAGATCCTGCTTTCTTGTTTCTTCTTCTTCTTCTTCTTCCTCTCCTAAGTTTTTTTTGGGCACCAGCACCCCTCAATATAGAATCTTGATTTTTTTGATCTCAATTATATAAGTTATGGGTATGGTTTTACGTCTATAATATTAAGATATCAAAGTATATAAATTTCTAAGCTTCAACTTTTAGATTTATTGTGATGGGAAGTGGGATTACAAATCAAGATTTGGCTCTTTCTTCCAAATCTATGGACCCTCCTAAATTGAAGAAAAGGCTTTATCAAGTTTGGAAGGGTCGCAATGTAAGCTCTCTCTTTTTTTTCTTTATCTTTCTTTTTGAAGAAATTCACTGCATTGCATGAAAGAAATTTGTCTAAAGTTATTAAATTCTCTTAACAAATTTATTATGGTTATTAGAATGAGCCTTGTGCAAGAAAGGGAGCTTTTGGCGTAACTGGTAAAGTGCCTGCCATGTGACCAGGAGGTCGCGGATTCAAGCCGTGGAATCAGCCTCTTGCAGAAATGCAGGGTAAGGCTGCGTACAATAGACCCTTGTGGTCCAGCCCTTCCCCGGGCCCCGCGCATAGTGAGAACTTAGTGTACCGGGCTGCCCCTTAAAATGAGCCTTGTGCAAAATCTTACATATGATCTGATTAACTGTTTCGCTTGGTGGATCGAGAAAAAGCCAAGAGTCTATTGCTAGTGTTTAAGTTCTACCTGACTCGATAACCAAAAGGAGATCTGAAATTAAATGAGAAATGTTGTCACTGATTTGAGGTTCAATTACCTTATCCCATGAAAGGGCAGCCCAGTATACAAATTCGCATTCACGCAGGATCCGAGGAAGAACCGCAACCTCAAAGGGAAGCCCAGTATTCCAAGGCTCCCCTTCTACCTTATCCCATAGTAAATGACATCATCTTTGAGGAAGATGTCCAGGGTTAGTTCTAGATTAGTTTAGTAGTAATTGGCCTTTGGCCTTTGAGAAAGAGATTTGTGCTAAAGCATGCCAATATATGAACTTAAATAAAGGTGCTTTATGATCACTGTAGATCGAAATTTTGCACGTGGAAGAAAGTGAATTCACTCACTTATGATCTCGGTTATCATTGGGTGCAAGCAGTGGTGAAGCTAGAAATTTCCCCAAGGGTATTCAAATTTGAAAGAAGTGAAAAATATTCCCGACAAAGGGTGTTCAGTATGTGTTATTCAGAGGCGGATCTAGGATTTCTAGTACTTGGGTGCACTACCAAAAAAAAGGAGACAAAAATGTATTTGGCGGGAATTGATCCCTATACCTCTTGGTAAATAACTCAACCTTCAAACAAGTGCACCATTCAACCTTCTTGGAGCATGGGTACCAACAGTTAATATTATACCAATTTTAGAAAATATGTACATAAAATACCTAATTTTACGGAAAGACCATGGGTTCACGTGCCCCATAATTAAGCCTATACATATGCCCCTGGTGTTATATAGCTTTAAAACGTAATAGTTTACCGTGTAATTTTTCGACAAAGGGTGGTCAACTGGCCACCCTTATGACACTGGGTGCAAGAGCATCCGCAACATGCAAATAGGGGCTTTTACAAATTCATATTGCTTCATCTATCATAAGCTAAAGCAAGCAGCCAATTACTACCTATCTTTTAATGCAGAATAGCTCAATCGTAAAAGCTTTGTCTAATGTTTCAGAAATTTCTCTGTGGGGGGAGATTGATCTTTGGTCCCGACGCAGCATCACTTTACTTATCAACATTTCTGATAGGGGCTCCTGCATTGACATTTTGCATAAAAATGCTTTTGATGATACCAAAAGTCAGTCCAGTATATGGGCATGTTGTACTAATTGGGGGACTCATCATCTCAGTTTTGGTATGTAATTAAGTACTTGAGGATAAAATCACATAAACTTTCTACTAACAATGCTCAAACCTAATACATTGACATAGTGCAGGCCTTGAGTTTTCTGTTCATGACATCTTCAAGCAATCCAGGAATAGTTCCTAGGAACTCAAGACCACCCGACTTGGATGAAATATTAAATACAAGTACGGCATCTATGGAGTGGGTCAACAATGCTGCCCCTGATGTAAAGTTACCAAGAACAAAGGATGTTTTTATCAACGGTCATTCTGTCAAAGTCAAGTTTTGTGACACATGTTTGCTATATCGTCCTCCACGTGCTTCTCATTGCTCAATTTGCAATAACTGCGTTCAGAGATTTGATCATCACTGTCCCTGGGTTGGCCAGTGTATTGGAGTTGTGAGTCATCTTTTCAATTCTTAGTATGGTTTCACTATATCTCTTCTGTTGATATTTCAAGAGCAGGTTCTTTATCTTTGAAATTGGAAAAAAAGAATATAAACGCAACATACATGTTCACAAGAACAATCTTTTAGGCGTTAAACATTTATATCAGTAATATTTAATTAGCTTCTGCTCTAGTAGGGAAAAGGATATTGGCATTCTTATTCTCATGCAGGCTTAATTCTGTAGAGCTAAATTAAAAATCTGAAGTTTCAACAGAAGTTGAATATTCGATAATATGATCAGGAACGAAGCTGAATTATTGTCTGTAGAGTTCTGCTATAAAAGAAAGCTCCCCTCTTTCACTTAAACCTTTTCTTTTTGTTGCTTTGGTTGCAGCGCAACTATCGGTGCTTTATACTATTCATATCAACAACAACAACTTTGTGCATATATGTTTTCACATTTTCGCTGCTGAACCTCCTTGGACAACCAGGAAGCTTTTTGCGTGCTATGTCAAGGGATATCATATCTGTGATTTTGATTGTATATTGCTTCATCGCTGTCTGGTTTGTCGGAGGGCTAAGCGTCTTCCATTTTTACCTGATGTCAACCAACCAGGTTATACTCTCGCTCTTCAATGGTAGTTTTGAATATCTAGAACGTAATTGGTCGATAACAACTTAAATTCAAATGCATCAATTCAACCTCGTGTGCTTTTTCATGCGACATCTCTGGTGATGTGCTGCTTGGAGATTCTTTTGAAATTTGGGGATTTGACATCACATGTTGACGAACTTCTGCATTTTCTTACCACTCAGTCCATTCAGCAATACTTCTATAGTTGGATGCACCTCATGTACACATTTGAAAAGATAATTTAACAAGAAAACCAGTGCAAAGCATTGAGCATAATGTTCTTTTATTTGTGATCACAATACAGTTCCCTAAACTATTCTATAGCTTCTTTTGATGTTTGTTTCTTATGGACTCTTCTATGGTTGCGAAAAGGAAAGTGTCATCTTATTTGTGTTGCACATCTTATTGCAGACGACGTATGAAAACTTCAGATATCGTTATGAAAAGAAAGAGAACCCTTACAGTCGTGGCATTTTGAAGAATCTCAAGGAAATCTTATGCTCTAAGCCACCACCTTCATTGGTCAACTTCCATGAGTGGGTAATTGAAGAAGATGATCCGAGTGTGAGATCTATCTCGATGAATCATAAATACGGTTCAATCAACTCTAAAGGGAAATTTGATCTAGAGATGGGAGGCATACTTGGAAAAGATGGTACTTTGCAGAATATGGATTATAGTGGCATTGATGACACTTTGAAGAAGGCGAGAAGTGACAATGCAAATTTTGATCCTCTTTTCTTTCCTGATGATCAAGACACGAATGATGCAGAGTCGACGCATTCAAATGGACAAAGGACAGTGGAAGATGGCAGAACTGATGAAGGCAGGAACCACGGATCTTCATAGCAGTTCTGCATAGATAAAGGTAGTTTTTTCTTATACTACATAAAAGTGTTAATCTAGCGTTTAAAAAGAAGGCCAATTACTTATCTACACGCAGCAGCCTTGAGCTTGTTCTTGATTAACTACGAATCCCCTCAGTTGGAAAATATGGCGAAAGTTTACTCTCAATATAGTAAAAGTGTAAAACTCGAATATATCTAAACAAATGTACTGACTACTGAAGGGGAGCGTTGGAGCAAAGGTAAAGTTGTCTCTGTGTGACCTATACACGTAATGGGTTCGAGCCGTGGAAGCAGCCTATCAATGGGTAGGCTGTCTACATCCCCCTAGGGGTGCAACCCTTCCCCAGACCCTTGCGTGAATGAAGAATGCTTTGTGCATCGCCCTGCCCCTTCTAAAGTACTGACTGCTGTACATCCTCCATTCAAAGATTTTTGCTACTCAAGTTCAATTTTCGAGTCATTCCACCAGGTGGGTGGAAACGATCGATCATACCCATTTTTAGCAGAAGTGATTATGTGCACACAGCTGAATTTGCAATACGCCTGGATGTTGAAGTGACTGCATTAACATTATTCAAAGATCGTCTGCATGCTGTATTGTGCTTATTATCACTTGCACTTATATTTTCAACCTTGCATCAGGTATCCGGATATTGTAACTGGGATCGCAATACTTGCTGGGTTATCCTATATATCTAATGTTAATAGAGATGATATTTTCCCCTCAATGTTTAGCCTGTGAAAGAATGATTTCATTTTACTAGATTCTGATGAAACTAAAGTAACCAAGAAACTAGACAGTTTCTGACTGATAATCACGGTACTCACTTATGTTTTAACATTTTACCCTGAATATTGCGGGTTCAAACTTTGGAAGTCTGATTTTTCTGAATTTGGTTAGTTTTTGAAAGCAGTGGTGCTTTTTTACTTGAGATCATTGCTCTTTATTGATGAAAACACTATATATTATGCATTTTAAGACTAAGTCAGTGACAGAAACTTGCAATGTTTTCATAGGTCGAGCGAATGAATGATGCTTATCGACAGACATTTGTGAAGGCATCATCATCAGATGACCTATTTGAATGCAGAGGTTGATTTTGCGGAGGCTGAAACGCGAGTAGTTGCTTCTTTTTATGTCTTCAAATATGGAAATTACAGCAAAGAAACTCTTTTGGAAAGTCTTTGGTACATAAATGAAACATAAAGAGTGGGAAATTGGAGCTAAATGAGGGTACTCTCTTGTTTGTACAGTATTTATATGATTTATGTTCTTTCCAACTTTTCTCGTTATTCACATTTTCTCCTGTTTTGTTTTACATTTAACGTTTTCCTATCTATCTATCTATCTATCCATCCATCCATCCATATTTATTCTAATATTTTGCGGCTGTTATAGTAAAATGCTGTTATAGAGAGCATATATTATAATATAACATGAAAAATTAGTTCCAAAGAAAATTTGACCGTTATAGTGAAATGCTATTATAGACTTCAAAAGTCGCTCCACGAACCTATATAAGTTCGAGGCAAGTACTATGTTGAGATTGTGTTGAGATTTAAGATATAAGTATTGGATGTGTGGTTATAATAATTTCTATAGTATGCGAGTTGTTTAACCATTTAAGCATGACTACATATTAATGCGTTGATGAAATGACATAATTGAATTTGAGTATTGTTGGTTAAAGTTCATTAAATGTATAAAGATATTCAGATTAGAATTCAATCCGTTAATTCAATTATTATTATATATTAACTTGAGATTTTTTTAGGAATCCAAACACTTAAAATTATGAATCCGCCTCCGTGGCTACGTTAAGTAAGTTAGTTCCCTCGGATAGGCTAAGCTTTCTAGGCCACGACCCTAGTTTGAATTGTGACATCTTGTCTATTAAAATTTTAGTAAAAATACTGATTGTATCTGGAAAACAGTTAAATGGTCAAGACATTGCATTTAAATTAAAAGAGTTTAAATTATTGCAGTTATGATTATTAGAATGGTTAAAAGATAAACACTAAAGTTTTTCACCCTTTTTCCCACATTGCTCCGGCCTTTTTTGTAGTTCCCACTCGGTATTCGATAATTGTATTAAGACCGGACTAAATTCGGATTCGTGCCGAAAAATTCTATATTGGGAGGGTAAAGCGCTCCCTAACAAAGGTTACCCTATACCAAAGGCCCAAACCCAGACCTCTAGTTAATGATGAGAACGTATTTACCAATTCATCAAAATTATATCACCAACTCGATGAGCAGTGGAATACATGACTATCAAATCTCAAAAAATAACAAAAACTTAAAAAATCATAAAACCTCCCCCCACAACACCCAGAGACAACACACCTACCAAAACAGGAATGTTTCTCTTAGTAATAATAATTGCCAATGCTTCATTGGTATATTCCATTCGAAAGACAAATGAATTGTGCTGTGCCTGCACGTTTTTGCCTAAACAACAGACACCAGACTGTACAATATTGAAAACACGGTTTTCTATTTCGTAATAAAAAAACAGAAATGAAAGAATTTTTTAAAATAATATTTAATTCCTTCATTAGCTTAAATAATATTTTTCTTCACTCCCAATCTCGAGAAGAATATTTGTCACGATCGACTTACTTTACAAAGTAATTATTTGTGTGCGCGTCTCTCTTTGTGTTTGCGGGCTTGTCCATATCATACTTAAATAATCATATTTGCTAGTTATGGATTTATGATTCAAAATATTTTAACTCTATGTTGTCTTAATTTATTTTGAAAGGATATGTTGCTTTGTATTATTTGTTGCCACTTGCCATAAGTTCAAACATAAGAATTGAGTATAAATTGAATAGTTGTAAAGAGGTTTATGTGAATGGTGATTAGATTTGCATTTTGTAAGAAATGCTTAATATTAATGGGTGCGTTTGGAAAGTGACTGAGATTAATTACAAGTAATTACATGGTTTGGTTTATTTGTTTGGTCAAATAATTACATAATTTGGTTTAATTACACCATTTACTTTACACCCAGCAATTTTCACCTCTCGTGGGGAATTATAACAACAACAACAACAAACCCAGTGTAATCGAACAAGTGAGGTCCAAGGAGAGTAATGAGTATGCAGTCTTAGCCCTACCTTGTACATGTAGAGAGGTTGTTTTTGATAGACCCTCGACTCAAAACAAGAATGCATAATTACAACAGTATAGAGAAAGAAATACAGTAGTATAATAATCAGGAAAGCAGTAACAACAACTAGATAGTAGAAAAACCAAAAGACAAGCAACATCATGGAGTAATAGAATTATAAGGATATGGGAATATTAGAATAACGCTATTACTACTGGAATGGAAGGAAAGATGCTCAACTGCGTACTAGCCTTAGGCGTGGGCATCGTCGGTTCGGTTCGGTTATGGATATTATCAGTTTAGCATATCGGTTATCGATTTACAAATTTGATAAACCGATAATCGAACCGATAAGATATCGGTTATCGGTTCGGTTAATCCGTTATCGATTATCGGTTCGGTTATCGGTATACCCGATAAGATAGCTCAATCTAGAGTTAAGCAAAAAAGAGAAGACAATTCATTGGAGTTAAGCAAAAAAGAGAAGAATTCACATATAGTATACTACACATTTGTGCGTTCTGTCCAGTGGCCACAACTGGAATAGTACTAATTCTTCAACAACAGTTGTCCAAATACATTAATAATAATACAAAGTAGTAGCAATTTCACCTTAACTGGATGTTGTTTGTCAAATACCTAACCTGAAAAAAGAAAACATAGATCAAAACCTTGATCTGTGCATGGGCAATACTAACATAGAAATAAAAAATACCTAGAAGGCAAGAAAATATTGTCCTGTTGTCAAAGCTCAGCGTACTGTACAGAAGAATAATGTTAAAAAATATGCCCGAAACTGATGAAGATTATCGATTGAGAATTTTGATAAGTGCGAAAGAGAAATTGGTAGTAGGTATAGGTTGCAACGTGAGCTCACAAAATTAAGAAGCGAAAATAAAAAAATAAAGAATCATTAACAATCAAAAATACCAATATGAAGATGAATTTTGTTATAGAAATTAAAAGCCTAATGTATAAGACTAAAGACTTACACTAGGAGTAACTAGTAAGTCTATGAAGAATGAAGATAAAGCAACTAAAGAGTGCGGTTGATAGAATAGGAGAGAATGAACCGAAGCCCTAACATATGTATATACTTAAGGGTAAAGTCGTAATATTAATTCTTATTGGGTTATCGGTTAAGCCATTAACAAAATTGGCAAACGAAGGCGAACCGATAACCCAATAGTGAAAAAATTCTAAACAGTTATCGAACCGTTAACCCAATAACCCGATACCGATAACCCAAATAAACAATTAACAGTTCGGGTCATCGGTTTTACCCGATATATACCCAGTCCTATCTAGCCTTCTCCTAGAGAATTGGAAAGCTTAACTCACTCCCCTCAATTACATCAATTCCGTGTTAACAAAGTATTACTTAATCAGAAAAGCTTACCATTATACAACTACACCTAATTACATTTAAATCAAAAAATCAAATGCCACTTAACAAAAAGGTTACCTAAGAATACTACAATATTTCTAGGGAAAATTTATCATCCAAAACCAATTTAACTAATTCCATAAATGAGAATTAACCAAGTTTAGAATTGCAACCGGGCAAAATCACTTTAAACTACGATATTTAGAACTAAACATAAATAAAGAATTCCATTTATAACATAACAAAGAATTCCATTTCTCATAATTAATGTCAAATGTACCCTTATCCTAATTTATTATTTCCCAATTAACCAGGCATGAAATGAATAAACTTTCTCTACAAAAATTTAAGTTATATACACTAATAACGTAAATCTTTTTACACAATCACTTTAATTTAACATATTATAGACTTGTAGTAAAATCACTTACCCTTATCAACTAGATTACTAAATCCACTAATTAAGTGGAGTTACTTATAATTTATTTACATAAAATAATATAATTCTCTTTTGTTTTTGTTTCTGCATTGTGTGTTACTAATTCCATTTATAGCAAGTTTGAAAATAACAGTTAGATACAACCAGATAACGGAATATCGGCAGAGAGGGAAACAAAAGTTGGTTAACTGAAACCCAAAAAAGAATTCAACATCTTTTATTTAAAAAAGTTAAATTTAATTAGAGAAAAAAGAAATTCAAGAGAGAGAAAGAGAAAAAGCATAATTGGAGAATTTTCACACATATTGGATAGGTACATTTCATCAATATTTTTGGAGAGAAGAGAGAGGGGAAGAATCATTTCTGGGTAAATCCGTCTTGACACATAAACACAACAAAAAGCAGCTGTTTCTTGATCACATATTTTGTGTCAAAATTAAAAGAAAAAAGACTTTCTCTTTCTCTCTCTTTTGTTACATATTTTATGTCCAAACCCCATTTCTTGAAACCCCCCCTCAAGACTTTTAATTCCCAAAATTGTTGATAAAAAGAGGATCTTTTTCTGAATTTGATATGCTTTATTTACATGGGTTATTGCAAACTGATTAATAGGAGGATAAGAGAAGGAGTTTGATTGTTATTTTGGGATAAGAAGCATAGCAATCCAGAAAGTTGAAATTTTTTGGGTTGTTTTGTTTCATTAAATTCCAAATTTTCAAAGTTATGGTTCGTGAAAAACATAAACCTCTGAGGCTTTATCAGGTTTGGAAAGGAAGCAATGTAAGTGTGTCTCTTCTTTTGGATTCTGCTTTTTTGTTTTTCATTATCTCATATGTTGTGAATTTTTTTATATAAGCAACTTAGTAGTTTAGTCATGTTGAATTGTGTGTTTTCTAGCTCAAACTTAAAGGGCTTCAGTGTTTAGACTGCATGGACTGGCTAATTGCACAATTTTCTTTTTCCAACTATTTGATGAGTTGAATTTGTTTCTTTTCTTTCTTCTCTTTGCTCTGTCTGTTTTCAGAATGAATAATAAGTGAAGCGTCCATAGCTATGATTTGGGTTTTCATAAATGACAATTTTCACTTAAAGTCGCGGACTTTATGTAAGTTGTTTATATTTGAACTTGAAGATGCTGCTTTCATCTCCTTATGTTCTTAAACTGCTTGTTTGATGCGACAATTATCAGTTAAAGTCTGCTTTCATCCAGCTGAAATTTTGCATAACCGAGATGATGCAATTTTTATACTCTTAAATCGCTTGTTACATATGGTTAAATTGTTCTTAGTTTCACGTAATAGTATCTTTCAATATAGTGAATTATTCAGACCTTTCTATACCATATCTTTTACCTTCACTTTTGTGCTTTTCAATGTTCCCAGAAATTCTTATGGGGTGGAAGATTGATCTTCGGTCCGGATGTGGCATCATTGTTTCTATCAACACTTTTAATTGCTGGCCCGGCACTTGCTTTTTGTATAAAAGTCTCTTGTGTAATCAGACATCGCATCAAAGAGCACAAAGATGCTGGTCCTTGGTATCCTATCCTTGGAATTGGAGTAGTTCTTACCATTATGGTATGAAATTTCTTCATCATCCTTAAAATTAGTACCACGTGGGTGATTCTGCGTTCTGCTTTCTCCCTTTCTGGATAACCTATTCTTTTCCTTTTGGGAAGTTAATTGTGCGTAAATGTATAATCTGTAGCTGACTGATGTGACTTGAATGTTGAAGCTGCTGACCAATTCTTTAATATCTTATGCAGGATATAGTTTTTCTCTTTATGACATCTAGTAGAGATCCTGGCATTGTCCCAAGAAACACGACACCTCCTGAATCTGATGAAACATTTGATATACATACTCCTTCCATGGAATGGGTCAACGGTAGAACTCCTCATTTGAAACTTCCACGAACAAAAGATGTCATCGTCAATGGACACACAGTTAAAGTCAAGTACTGTGATACATGTTTGCTGTATCGACCTCCTCGTTCATCTCATTGTTCTATCTGCAACAATTGTGTTCAAAGATTTGATCATCACTGTCCCTGGGTTGGTCAATGCATTGGACTTGTACGTATTGCTGACTATGCGTTTCTTCAAGCAAACTTGAACCACATTTGGGTTGTTTATGTTACCAGTTGATAAACTGTCTACTTGTGTGTGCATGATATGGTTGAAAAAGTACATGCATTGTGAAATGAATAAAATTCCATCACTGCATATCGAAAAGTAAAAGCTTATGGTAGCCAAAGTTAATATAGATTTTCCTCACTATTCAGCTATGGAGTCTTTTTTTTCAAGAGCGTAATTCTGGATTTGTAGTTAATGATTTCTGTAGATTATCAGGGAAAGCCATTATATTGAGGAAAAGTGGAGTGTACTCATATAATAGTTTGGCACGAGATGCTAATCAGCCTTTTGAACTGATATAAGTGATGGCATGAGATGTCAATCAGCCATATGAAGTATGATTTTATCGACACTCATCACAAAATTTTGTTGGACGAGAAAGAACAAATTCATTGACGGTGAGGAATATATGCAGACTAATGCTTATATCTTAGTAAATGCGTGACAAATTAGATAATCCTTTCCTAGAGTATGAGTTGTACGAAGGAGATGTTAAAGAATTGGTGAAAGATTGAAGAGGGTCAAATGTAGTTCTTTTTGTTTCATAACTTGAGATATTAATACCATTGTATTTCATTTAAGTTCTGGTTATAAATGATCTATTGACAATACCAATGAAATGGAAGATTCTTCTTTTATTCTACTGTATCACTTGGGAGGGTAACTTGTCATGCAAGTTTATGTCCTTTGAGAAATAAGATACTAAAGTTACTCAAGATCGTAAAGCACTGGATGCTGTAGGATACTAGACATTAATATAAATGAGATATTATGACATCATACCACCTTTGAATAATTTGCTGATATGTTTTCTATTTCTGACTTGGTTGCAGCGGAATTACAGATTCTTCTACTTGTTCATATCTACGTCAACCATATTATGTATATATGTCTTCATCATATCTTTGGTCAATATTCTTCATCGTGGTGGAAACGTATGGAGAGCTATTTCACAAGATATCTTGTCAGATGTTCTCATTGTATACTGCTTCATTGCTGTTTGGTTTGTTGGTGGCCTTACTATTTTCCATTTTTACCTGATCAGCACTAACCAGGTGACCGTTCTAACTGAGATGTATGCTAACAAATTAGTTATGATTCTTCTGCAATGTTATCTGCAATATGAGTTGCCTTATCATGAATTGGCATCATTAGAGACTGCAACTTAAAATTACATACTTTCTATGGTAAATCATGTCTTGCCATTTTCGTTAGAGTATATCCTGCAGTATGAATACTCTAATCTGGCAGGAATTTCTGGCTGCTATGATATTAGAAGTTTAGAACACATAAAAACCAAATTTTATTGATTGTCCATCTAAACATCTAGTTGGATCTCCGTGCTTCGGTATGAGCTGCAACCTCTGGATCATATTTGATATTCCTTCTTGTTTTCTTTCTTTTTCTTGGTACTTGGTAGGTTTTCCTTTTACGTCACACTTATCTGTTTATTTGTGAGTTCTGTGTGTAATCTTCTCTCTTTCAGAGATTTTATGGAATATTTAGTAGACAAACTTTAGATGTCTTGTCCTGGTTAGATAACAATGCGTGCAAGTGAGTCTGCTAACATCTACAAGCGCTTAGAGTAATAATATGTAAAAGCGCGTAGAGTAATAATATGTGAAAGTGAACCTGCTGACATCTATTAATACTGACCGCTTAAGTTTGTTTTGATGTATAATTGGAACCAGCGTGTCCTCTCATCTTTCTTACTCCTGTTGTTCTTCAAGGTGTCGTTGCTTAGAATATTGACTTCCAAGGATTGAGCTCTTAAACATCGGGCTATGATATGGATCTAACTTTAGTCCATAATTTATTACATAAACCCCATTACCACCCCATCCAAATACGTTAGGGAACTTACACTAAGGATCAACTTCCATAATTTTTCTTACTCTACAACAACAACAACAACCCAGTGAGTTCCCACAAGTGGAGTCTGGGGAGGGTAGAGTGTACGCAGACCTTACCCCTACGCTGGAGAGTAGAGAGGATGTTTCCGAAAGACCCTCGGCTCAAGAAAACGAAAAGAGACAATATATCAGTACCATCAACAAGACCATATGAGTAATAGAACCAGAAAATAGATAAAAAACGATAACAATAACAAAAACCAGTGAATAAGGCCCGATATTATGAACACCGAAAGAATAGAACAATAATCGCTAGTAGCCTAGGACAAAACCTTATCAGACCAGCCTCCCACCCGGACGAACCTTATCGGCTACCTCCTAACCTACCACCCTGATGCTCGACCTCTACACCTTCCTATCAAGGGCCATGTCCTTGAAAATCTGAAGCCACGCTATGTCCCGCCTTATCACCTCTCCCCAATACTTCTTAGGCCACCCTCTTCCTCTTCTCGAACCCGCCAAGGCCAACCGCTCACACCTCCTGACCGGGGCATCTGGGCTTCTCCTTCGCACATGCCCGAACCATCTAAACATCGCTTCCCGCATCTTGTCATCCACAGGGGCCACACCCAATTTATCCCGAATATCTTCATTCCTATTCTTATCCATCCTAGTGTGCCTGCAGATCCACCTCAACATCCTTATCTCTGCTACTTTCATCTTCTGGATATGTCAGTTCTTAACTGGCCAACATTCTTCCTCATACAACATGGCCGGTCTGACCACCGCTCTATAAAACTTACCTTTGAGTATCGGTAGCACTTTCTTGTCACACAAGACTCCAGATGTTAACCTCCATTTCATCCACCCCACCCCTATACGGTGTGTGGCATCCTCGTCGATCTTCCCATCCCCTGGATAACCAACCCAAGGTACTTGAAACTGCCTCTCCTAGGGATGACCTGTGATCCAAGCCTCACGTCCGAGCCCGCTTCTCTCGACTCAACTATGAACTTGCACTCCGGGTATTCTGTCTTAGTCCTGCTCAACTTAAAACCCTTAGACTCAAGGGCCTGTCTCCAAACCTCCAGCCTCTCGTTAACGCTGCCTCGCGTCTCATCAACCAGAACTATATCACCAGCGAACAACATACACCATGACACCTCCCTTTGAATATGTCGTGTCAGTGCGTCCATCATCAGAGCAAATAAGAACGGGTTGAGCGCAGATCCTTGGTGTAAACCCATAACAACCGGGAAGTGCTCCGAGTCACCTCCCACAGTCCTAACCCGAGTCTTAGCTCAATACATGTCCTTAATCTCCCTAATGTAGGCAACCGGCACATCTTTTGCCTCCCGGTATCTCCAAAGAACCTCCCTAGGGACCTTGTCATATGCTTTCTCCCGGTCAATAAACACCATGTGCAAATCCTTCTTCCTATCCTTGTACTGTTCCACCAACCTCCTAATAAGGTGGATCACTCCGTAGTCGAACGACCCGGCATGAACCCGAACGGGTTGTCGGATATAGACACCGTCCTCCTCACCCTCACTTCCACCACACTTTCATAGTATGACTTAGTAACTTGATACTCCTATAGTTGTTGCAACTCTGGATATCACCTTTGTTCTTGTACAACGGTACCACCGTACTCCACCTCCACTTATTCGGCATCCTCTTCGTCCTGAAAATAACATTAAACAGCCCGGCCCCCCTCTTCATTCAGAAGTTTGTGAAAGTATGCTGCCATCTCCGCTTAGTCTGAGCCTCTCCCATCAAAACTCTACCAATAATTTTTCTTACTCTGCGGATAATAATCTACAATGCATCGAAAATTATGAGAATCCCAGTATAGTGGCTCATTAATACTCTCGGTGATGTATAGAGCATACTGCATTAGTTGAGTTATTCCATGGACGACTTTCTTTCATTACTAATTTGCATTCTGTCTTTGCTGGTCATATTGTTCTGACAAGCCAATTAAAATTCATCAACAGCGGAAGTTCAAGTCTCATTTCTCCTTTATGGTTTAGGAGCTAGAGAAGTCCAATATATATGGTACAGTATGTTAGTGAAATTCTAAAGACAATATCATGAACTTTTTCTTCCTTTAGTTTTGAGTCCTATAAACCCCCTCCTCGCCCCCGGCCTACAGTTCTCTATATTTACCTGCTTGAAATATAAATCTGATGTGTTGCTTCATATTTTTACAGAACCATTTTTGTTTTTGTTTTTTCTTTTCTGTTGCTTTTTGCAGACTACATATGAAAACTTCAGGTATCGATATGATAAGAAGGAGAATCCCTATAATAGGGGGATGATTGAAAATATAAAAGAAGTTTTCTTTTCCAGGATCCCACCTTCCTTAAATAAATTTCGAGCGATCATTAAAGAAAATGACCTTGTAATGATTGAGCGACCAACTTCCAGCTTTGTGGGAAACATCACTAGCTCAAAAGAGAAGATAGATATTGAGATGGGAGCGATGTTTCCAGAGGATAGTGGACTTACACTTCCTGAAATTTTGCGGAATTTGGAATATGAGGAGATAGAGGATACTTTAAAAAGCCGGGAAGGAACTGGAGATACTTATTCTGATTCTGGTGATTATATACGAAGCATCTCCAGCTTAACAGAGAAAGTTGATATTGAGGTCGGAGATAACTCTGCAGAAGATAAAGGAGTCGCACAGCCAGAAAATTCAGAGAATATGAATGGCGATAACATGACGAAGAACTTCAAAAACAAGGATGAAGACGGGAGAAATGATTATCAACCTTTTTGGTTTTCTCTTGAACAAGATAAAGAAACTGTAAAGAGCTCCACTCTAGGAAGTGGATCTAATGTAGAAGAGCACTCAGAAGAAGTAAATAGCTCGGCTCAGTATATGACACCAATAAATGAACCTAGCCCGAAGGTATCTATTTTTCATTTTCTTTCACTGCTTATTTTCTTTAAGTATATCAGTACTCTAGTTCTATGTGAAGACTAGGACCACATATATTGTTACTCTATTGAATGGTTGATAACACGAAACACAGTATGTATTTGACACACATACCAGGCACATCTGCATTGTAGAACCAATATTAAGAGCCATTGCTTTGGCTTCATCAATGTTATACTTCAAGATGCATACTCAATCAGAAGGTTCAGGAACTGTATTGTGTTTGAGAGTGTTGGATCGATAATGTGATAATATGTTTTTGTCCGTTGCTGGCGCTGTGCGTCGTCTAAATGATCTATCACCCCCTTTAGTTATTAAAGCTTAATGGCATTATTGTGCTATCATTTCCTCTTTCTTGAGAAAGTTTTGGTTCTTCAACAGTAAAAATTGTCATCAGACTGCTGTAGTCTTTTGGATATTAATCAAAATGACATTACCATTTTTGTTTCAGGTCTAGCATACAGTACAAGGAACTCCTCCTTAAGTCTTTTCCGTTTTACGTTGTGCACAAGCTGAGAAAATTTGCTTTCCTCAAGGATAGCATTTGGCAAGCTTGGGAACACTACCAAGATACACGACTTTTCAGATTATCATTGACAAGATCAGAAACGATTTGCAGAATTGTGTTTGAAATAATGCAGGGTCTTGCTTGAGATGAGAGAGCAGATCCTGTTGGAGTTCAAAATTGTAGATAGATTGATGAATAGCTCTTTTCTCTTAAATTGTTCATCCTTTACTCCAACTCCATGCAAAGTCTCCTTTTATTCTCTTAAAAACAGTGTGCATAGTTTGCAACAAGATGTGAAGCTAATAGGGTTATGGAAACAATGTTGGAGAACAAATAGATAGATGTGTGTAAATTTGATTTTGCAGCTTCTTTTCCCAAATTTGTTTTCTATTGGAACGTTTTGAATTTTTTTTCCTTTTGGGCCTTAATCTTATGATAAAGGATTAGTTACCTCCTATAGCAAAGGTTGATACCTTATTTATTTTAAATAAATACCCTTTTAAAAAATTATATTCCATAGCTACCTTTTGATTTTTATAGCAAATATCTATTTATGGTCACCTCCTACTCTTAAGCCATAAAATACGCCTTGTATTATTTTTCTCTCTCCATTCAAATTTCTCGTATCCCCTACCCCATATCTATTCTCCCGCTCTCTCTCATCTTCCATCTTTATCTTAATACCAGAACTCTCCGGCAAAGCATCAGAATTAGAGTTTCCCGGCGAAGACTCTGCTTCAACCTCACCACCGCCGAAGACTCTGCTTCAGAATTAGAGTTTTCCGGCGAAGAATTACTGATGCTGCTTCAACCTCACCGTCGCCGCTGAGCAACTTGAATTTTCTTGAACTCCGTCAAGCCTCCTAGGATCTCAAATTCAAGTTGCACAAACTTTGGAAAACTCCGTCGCATGCTACAATTCCAAGAAAAACTACTTTATAAGCAAGGAAAGTTGCAATCTTTATCTATTTAGAAGTTTCAAAACGAGTGAATTTTTTTAAATAGAAGCTAAAAATGCCAGAATATAATTTAATATAAATTGTAAAGAATAGGTTTTTTGAAGCATACCGTGAGGGTATTATGGTAACAGGAACAGTGGCGTTTCGAGTCAGAATCGCGGCCCTCTCGACGAGACGACATTAGGGTTGTTCTTGAACGAAGACGACGGAGTTTGGGGCTGAGCATTTCAATGTATTTCAATGTATCTCGCTGTATTTTTATGTATTCATTATATTCATTGTCTTTTTTTTTATTGTATTTCAATGTATCTCGTTGTATTCCATGTATTTCATTGTATTCATTGTCTCGTTGTATTCAATGAATGTTTTCATATATTTTTTTTAATTAATATAATTTATGTATTCAGATGTATATATGTATTCAAATTGCTCTGTTTTTGTTATATTTATCGGCTGGGAAAAATATTCAGCATATTTTCTCTGAAGATTGCTATGTTTTTGGGGTGTTTTTCGGTTGAGAATCATTTTTATAACTGGAAATACAAATTTTGTGTGTTATAATTGAGTTTGTTGAGTTATATTAGGAGTCTATTATGTTAATTGATTCATTTTCCATTTAAAAACAGCTGAATAGACCATGAATTGCACTATTTACGTTACTGTATTCACAAATACATATCGTGAATACAGTCGAATACAATAATCTGTCTAGCTGTAATCCCCTATTTCACGCCGTGAATACAGTCGAATACAAAAATCTGTCTAGTAATAATCTCATGTTTCACGCCTAGAAATGCTATTGTATTCATGAATACAGTAGCTTAAATACATCGAATACACTCTAAAAAACCTGAAAACATAGTTATAGGAAATAATATAGTAAATAGTAGCTACAACTAGCTAATAACCACTAATTAGTGGTTTCTGAAAGTTTCTCTATGATAAATGCCCAAGAAAGTTCCAATTGACACTATTCATGTCATTTCCCTGTTGTTCTTGCTATAAAATTTGATCCACATGAACTAGTTTAACTATGATACCAAGGCAATATAAGAAGAAACAACAACTAAGGTAGGAAAGTTACTACAAGTGGTGAAAGAAAAACTATAAATTGTTAGTAACTTTCCTTCTTTATGTTATAGTTTTCCGGAGTGGCGAGTTCAGAATTTATACTCTATGAGCTCAATATTTAAGGTTCTTAGCATTGAAGCCATTATATTTTTAAAGTTACGAGTGGGGAAGAAAATCAGAAATAGCCTAATTTGCAACTGCATATTGAAAATTAGTTACGTTTCAAAAGTAATCGAAATTTAGCCATTTTTCATGTAATAGTAAAATCCGAACAAAAACATCGTTAAAATTAGGAAATTCAAGCATAATATGTTTGAGTTCAAATTTTTTACATATGAGATTCCAGCATAATATCCTGGAATTTCATAATGTGCCGGAGTTTCAATATAATATGCTAGAAGTTTATATGCAGGAGCTCCATAATCCAGCATGTTGTTGGGCTTAAACGGCCCAATGACACTCTTAACATGGTGTGATATTGTCCGCTTTGGGCCAAGCCCGCACGGTTTTTCCCAAAAGGCCTCACACCATTAAGAGATCCCTACACCTTATATGTAGACTCCCAATCTTTTCAGCTACCAATGTGGAACTTTGTTCGCACACCCAACAATCTCCCCCTCGAACTAAGTTCCACGTGGCCCATTACCACGATCCACGGGTCAATTTTAGAGATTACTGTGTGTCACCCACATTGTTAGAGTATTATGGCAACCGAAGCCCGCAACTAGCTTTTTCTTGTGTACGTGCCGCCTCGCACCATCACTCCGCCATCTCCATACTCGTCCCACTGAACCTGGGCTCTGATACCAGTTGTTGGGCTTAAACGGCCCAATGACACTCTTAACATGGTATGATATTGTCCGCTTTGGGCCAAGCCCGCACGGTTTTTCCCAAAAGGCCTCACACCATTAAGAGATCCCTACACCTTATATGTAGACTCCCAATCTTTTCAGCTACCAATGTGGAACTTTGTTCGCACACCCAACAATTATGTTGGAACTTTCCGTGTTTCAGCTACGGTATATTTGTCCAGGTTTTACCTCCGCACAAATAATGACTATGCAAAGACTGGTTATTTTTCAATTTCTAGTCCGAAAATTGGCTACCATGTGCTATTTTTACGTTCATATCTACTATTTATTATATTTTTAATAAAATTTTACGCATAAATATATGTTGCGCGCCGAAAGTACCCACCGTTTCTTTTTCCAGTACAAATCGATTTGTTATTGTGTTTGGTACAGAGCTGAGATCAGAACATTGTTAAGTACTGCCAGTAAAACAAGATCCATTCATTTACCAGACTCTCTCTCACACACATAAAATTGGGAGAAATTCAAAAATAACCAGATTTACAAGTGGTCATTCAAAAATAGTTATAGTTTCAAAGGTAATCGAAATTTAGCCACTTTTCATGTAAAGATAAATTTGAACGAAAATACTGTTCAAAATCCGGAAAATACTCCAGCATAATATATTGGAGTTGTATACTAGAACTCCAGTATATTATAATGGAGTTCCAGCATAAGTATACTAGAACTCCAGCATATTATGATGGAGTTTCAGCACAAGTATACTGGAACTCCAACATAATATACTGGAGTTCCAGTATAATATACCAGTCCAATATAATATGCTGAAAGTTCATACACAGGTGCTCTAATCTCCAGTATATTATGTTGGAACTTTTCGCGTGTTGCAGTTCCAACATAATATGCTGGAAGTTCTTACGCAAGTGCACCAATCTCCAGTATATTATGCTGGACCGATCCCTGTTGCAGCAAAATAGTGGCTATTTTTTAATGACTTTGCAAACGCCGGCTATTTTTGAATGATCAATCAGAAAACTGGCTAGCCCGTTTTATTTTAACCATAGAATTACCAAACACAGGAGTGAGTAGTAACCAATCAAAAAGACAACATTAAAGAAACTCATAAAGATTAAGTACAAATAGAAAATTTTCAACCAGTAGTACTAGTTGAATATCTTGAGAAATCTATAAAAAAAAAAATTAAAGAAAAATCTACATGGAGAAACATAGACCACAACTACTACTACAACTTTCCAATTGAACAAACATACAAAACTTACAAGGCTACCATGTAATCGAGCTGGCCCATCACAGACTGCCACGTGTCAAAAACCCACTTAATCCCCTAGATTTCATTGGATGAGATTAGATTCCATCACTGTCATCTAAATTCATATATTTCCCCTCCACCTTTCATTTCCCTTAGCTTCACTTCTTTCAAAGAACTGTAGTTTCTGCTGAAGTTATCAAAAAAATGGCAGCAGAAATGGCTTTACTAAAACCAATTACCAAATTCAACACCTTTAACACCACCACCACTTCACGGCTGAGCAACCGCAGACTGCCGTTCACAGTGAGAATGTCAGCCACCACAACTCCACCAACTTCAAAACCAACCAAGAAAGCTCAGAAACAAGGAATTAAGGAGTCCCTTTTGACACCAAGATTTTACACAACTGATTTTGATGAAATGGAGACACTTTTCAACACTGAGATCAACAAGAATTTGAATGAAGCTGAGTTTGAGGCTCTCTTGCAGGAATTCAAGACTGATTATAACCAGACTCACTTTGTTAGGAACAAGGAGTTTAAAGAAGCTGCTGATAAAATTCAGGGACCTCTTAGGCAAATTTTTGTTGAATTCTTGGAAAGGTCTTGCACTGCTGAGTTCTCTGGTTTTCTTCTCTACAAGGAGCTTGGAAGGAGGCTCAAGGTTTGTGTTTCTTGTTCCTTTACTCCTGTTTTTACTGTAGTCAATGGGATTCTTGAGACTTTTTGTGTTTTTTGTGAAAATGTTAGTATAATTATTTGGTTCAAGTGGTCTGAGCTTGTCTAGGTAGCTTTTTAGCTTCTGTTAAAGTGAAATTTGAATGTCTTCCAATTATAAGTGTTATTCTAAGTTATAGTTTGATTTCTAGAATGAAAAATCAAGTGGTAGATGATTTGCTCATAGCATTCTCTCTAACACCAGCTTCTGATAAGAAAAAGTAGACAAGCACATTTCTTTAATAAGGTAAAAAAAGTAGCTTCTGTTTGATATGCAATGAGAGTAACCCTCCACAATGCTGTAGTTGATTTTGAGCAGCTTATATCAGTAGCTATTTATGTTCCTGTTCACTTATTATTATCTTCTTGCTTGTCAACCAATAAAAGTGCAACCCCTCCCCCAAAAAGAAAAAGGGAAAAAATTAAGGTTTGTGCTTTTTACTCTACTAGCAAAGTTTGTGCCGAAAATAGCCTTTCTATGTTCATAAGATAGGGGTAAGGTCGCGTACACACTACTCTACGCAGACCCCACTTGTGGGATTACACTGGTTTGTTGTTGTTGTTGTTGTACTCTACTAGCAAAGTTT